GCGCTGAGGGAGCCGTGACGTGTGGGCGTGCGACGAGGGCCTGTGGGGCGGCGCACACATTTCTCTCCCTCTTGTTTTGTTTTCTTGCGGCCAGGGCTGGCAGACACCCGCAGCGCCGCACACACACAGCCACACCCTGCCGCTTTTTTGGTATATTGCTTTGCGTTTTTGTTTTTCGTGCCGGCAGTCCCGTCAGCATTTCTCTCCCCTCTGATGATTTTTTTTCCCTTTTCTGCGCTCGCTCTCCCGATGGAGTGACGCGACTCCCGTCGTGTCTGCGTGCTTCTCTCAGTCCCTCCACACACACGAGTGACTGTGCTCTGCGGGCCGCACTCGCACGCCGATGAGAGGGCTGAGGGGAGCAGCAACACGCAGATGACCCCGTGAAATATGAACGATGTGCGGACACATGGAGGGTCGGACGGTTGAAAGACACTTAAATATTTAATTTTTAATTTGTGGGCAAAATATACAAACAGTTTGGTGGGCCACACGGTAACCAGCTGCTTTTTTTTTTTATATGCGTGGAACAGTAGTAGAAAACTTTTTTTTATATATGTTTCGTGCGAGGGGGTTTAATTTACGATGAAGGGGAACGTTTTTATTTATTTTAAATAAATCTTCTATGAATTGCCGCTGCCTGGTATGCAGTGCAATATCATGAGCTTGAGCAGTCTTTTTCTCGTTATTTCTGCCATGCACCACTGCTGTGCTGTTTTTGTTTGTGCGTCCCCTCACACGCTCTGCCTTTTCTACTCCTTTACCTCGTGTTCCTGCAGGGACACACACACAACCACAAAAAATGCAGATTGCAGTGGATTTGGATGCTTCTTTTGTAGTGTGTGCTGGCGGTTGCGGGTGGCTGCCGCCTCTTTCCGTGGGCATGAAGGGAAGGAAGGAGGAGAGGGAGCGCACACCGCGAGTCAATTTTGCTGTTGGCGTGATGCACCGCCTGCGACTTATTTGAGTTGGGCACCGAATCCCAGTGTGGGTGTAACGGCTGGAAATTTTGTCGCCGCGTCATGGCTGGGTGAGGATCCGCTTCCGCGTGTGTCTCCTTGGGTGGTTGCTGGCGGTGTGTGCGTTTGTTGTGTGGAGGGTCGAATCTTCTCACCCGCGGACTGGCAGCACTGCGATGGTGTGTGTGTGTGTGTGAGGGCTGGTGTGGAGTTGCCGGCCAGCGCGAGGACCGTGGCGGTGCTTTTCCCGCCCGCAATTTGTTTCTTTTGTGTGTTTGCGCTGCTTCTTGCTTTTTTCCCTTGTCACCATTTTCTCCTGTGTTCCTGCGTGGAGTGGCCGCATGCTCACGGGCCATGTTGATTGTGAGTGCCTCCTGACGGCATCCATTCATTTCTCTCCGCCTGTCTGTCTGTCATTCCCTGTTGGGTGTGGCGTGTTGCACCGCGGGAGGGCTGGCCCGCACACACCGACGGCCCGCCGTGACTTGCCGTGTTGCTGCTCTTTTCTGTAGGCGATGGTCCTCCGTGCTGTCCCTTCCGGATTGTCTTGTGTCCCTCTCTTTGCGTGGGTGCTCTGCTCTAACCCCCGCCGACGTGTCTGATGTATTGCCACTGTTGCTGCTGTCTCCTCCACTTCTTGGACACCGACACGCTAGGAAGGAAGGAAAACAAGCGCTAATCGCTACTGTGAAATTCAAAGGCACTGAAAGGACCAACAGCACACACACACATATTTATATGCTCTCACGTGTTGCTGCAGTGAAGGCACCCCGCACACACCACCGTCGCCGCGTGACCGGATCCAGCGGAAGGAGGAGGGAAGGAAGAGAGAGTGAGCCGCAGAGACCCAACATGTCTCGGCGTGTGTTTGCTTCCGTGGTGCTGCTCCTCCTCGTCGTGACGATGTGCTGCAGTGGAGCTACGACCGCTCAGGTGGAAATGGCCACTGATGCTTCAACTTCTGGGTCGGCATTGACGGGTGCCATTGCTGGAGAGGGGAGCACTTCAGGGGGTGTTGAGGGGCTGCAACGGGTCGATCTATTTGTGCCGAATCAGACGCTGGTGCTGCCGAATAACGGGACTAACTCAAGTCGGAGGAATTCATTTGTTTCACCCTCTCTCGTCAGTGCTGGTGGAGTGATTGCTGCTTTTGCCGAGGGTCACATGAATGCCGAATATCAAGATGGTCAATCAACTAAGCCGTCTTCTGATGTTGTTGCGGAGTACATCGACTCTGCGTGGAATTGGTCCACTCTTGTTGAAGAGGTCAAAAAGGAAGAATGGAGTGCACACACTGTGCTTGGCACAGCGGAGGGAAAGGAGAGTTTTGATGTTGTGCTCCGCCCCACAACAATCGCAAGGGACAACAAGGTGTTTCTTCTTACGGGAAGCTCTGATTTGTTCCACATAAATGGTGGTTGGATTCATGACGGCTGGGAGCTGAAACTGGTTGTTGGTGAGGTCACGAATTCTACGGGTGGCAAGCTGAGTGAACGTATCAAATGGGGCGAAATCAGGTCTCCGTTGAACGAGAATACTTTAGCTGCTCACAAAGGCGAATTGAAGGAGTTTGTTGCCGCTGGTGGCTCAGGTGTTCTGATGGAGGACGGCACCATTGTGTTTCCACTGATGGCGAAGAGCGGAAAAGGTGTCGTTTACTCCATGATTATTCACTCGACGGACAACGGCAGTACCTGGTCGCTCTCTGAGGGCATTTCTCATCCGAAATGCTTTGCACCCCGCATCACCGAGTGGGAGGGATCACTTCTCATGATTGTTGACTGCGAGGATGGCCAGAGGGTGTACGAGTCGCGTGACATGGGGAAAACGTGGACGGAGGCCATCGGGACACTTCCAGGCGTGTGGGTCAACTCACAATTATTTTTTCGGGATCTGAGCTTGCGTGTGGATGCCCTCATCACCGTGACCATTGGGGGAAGGAAGGTCATGCTGTACACTCAGAGAGGGAACTTCTCGGGGAAAAATAAGGCCACTGCGCTCTACCTTTGGGTGACGGAAAACAACCGTACGTTTTTTGTTGGACCAGTTGGCATGGGCAATGCTGGGGAGAAGGAGTTCGCCAGCACCCTGCTGTACTCGGATGGCAAGTTGCATCTTTTACAACGGATGGCCAGTGGTGAAGGCAGTGCCATTTCACTTTCCCACTTGGCGGAGGAACTGAATAAAATCAAGTTCGTCCTGAAGACCTGGGCGCAAAAGGACGTTTTCTTCCCCGGGTTGTCTATACCCACGGCGGGTCTGGTGGCGGTATTGTCCGATGCGGCCAGCGATGACACGTGGATCGACGAGTACCTTTGCCTGAATGCGACGGTGAGGAACGCCACGAAGGTCAAAGATGGGTTGAAATTGACGGAGCCTGACTCCGGGGTAATATGGCCTGTGAACATTCCGGATGATAAAGTACGTAATGTATCCTTGAGCCACAACTTTACACTTGTGGCGACGGTGACCATCGAAGAGGCCCCGAGTGGGAACACTCCTCTACTGATTGCGGTGTTGGCGAACACTGAGCCCACGCATACCATGGGAATCCTGTATACGGCGAATAAGACGTGGGAGACGATTTCCAAAGGCGAGACAAAACCAACAACGGAAAGTGGCACTTGGGAGCTTAAGAAAGAATATCAAGTGGCACTCATGCTGCAAGGCAACAAGAGCTCCGTGTACGTTGATGGCAAGTCGCTGGGGGAGGAAGAAGCGCCGTTAACGGATGAGACACCACTTGAGCTTTTATACTTTTGCTTTGGCGCGTGCGATATGAAAAACTCTCCTATGACGGTGAAGGACGTCTTTCTTTACAATCGCCCACTGAATCCCACTGAGATGAGTGCAATCAAGGAAAGGATACCCGTTCCGACGAGAACTCCAGAACCACAAGTAAAAATTGCTCCTGATCCTATCGCACCTGCTGTGTCTGCTGTGTCTGATGCACCTGCGGTGCCTGCTGTACCTGCGGTGCCTGCTGTACCTGCGGTGCCTGCTGCACCTGCTGGGAATGAAGGGACGGCACGAGAAAAGGGTGATGGTGGGGCAAATGGTGATGCTGGTTCCGTGTACGGGAGTGGACTGCTGCCGCTGCTGCTTCTGCTGGGACTGTGGGGCTTTGCGACTGCGTGAGGAGTGTGCGGTCTCAGTGTGGAGCACTTGAGCCCTTCCCTGCACCGACACTCACACACCGCTATGAATGAAATTTACTACGCCGAGAATAATTTGTTTTTGTTTTCTTTTAATGTTTCCCATTTTCCCCTTGCTGCTTGTTGCCTTGGGGCAACCATTATAAGCGTTTTTTTTTCCGGCTCTTAATTTTCTTTTCTGTTAGGAGCATAATTTCTCATGTTTTTTATGTTTGTTTTTAATCATTTTTGTTTGCTTTAAAAAATTTTTGTTTCTTTTTTCTTTTTTTTTTTTTCTCCACTCTTTCCTTCTTTTTTGCTTTTTGGGGCAGTCACTGTGGACGTTTTTTTTTTTCTGCTCTTCCCTCTTTAATTGTTTGTTGCTGCACTCTTCCTGCGAGGGGTGCCGTGTGTTTCCCGCCCAACTGCTCCACTCGCACACCCACCGACACGCACATGACGACGGCCCTGTGCGCCTCGCCTGCTGCACGCATGAGGAGGGGCGGCGACGAACGGCGCGCTGAGGGAGCCGTGACGTGTGGGCGTGCGACGAGGGCCTGTGGGGCGGAGCACACATTTCTTCCCTCTTGTTTTGTTTTTTATGCGGTCAGGGCTGGCAGACACCCGCAGCGCCACACACACACAGCCACGCCCTGCCGCCGTGTTTTTTTTTCTTTTTTTGCTGCGCTCACTCCCCCGATGGAGAGACGCGACTCCCGTCGTGTCTGCGTGCTTCTCTCAGTCCCCACACACACACGAGTGACTGTGCTCTGCGGGCCGCACTCACGCGCCGATGAGAGGGCTGAGGGGAGCAGCAACACGCAGATGACCCATGAAATATGAACGATGTGCGGACACGCGGAGGGTCGGACGGTTGAAAGACATTTAAATATTTAATTTTTAATTTGTGGGCAAAATATACAAACAGTTTGGTGGGCCACACGGTAACCAGCTGCTTTTTTTTTGTGGTTTTTTCTTTTTTTTTTTCTTTTTTTTTTCTTTTTTTTTTCTTTTTTTTTTCTTTTTTTTTTTTTTTCATTTTTTTTTGTGTGGAACAGTAGTGGTGGACGACTTTTTTTTTCTTTTTATATAATTATTGTGTGCGAGGGGGTTTAATTTACGATGAAAGGGAACGTTTTTATTTATTTTAAATAAATCTTCTATGAATTGCCGCTGCCTGGTATGCAGTGCAATATCATGAGCTTGAGCAGTCTTTTTCTCGTTATTTCTGCCATGCACCACTGCTGTGCTGTTTTTGTTTGTGCGTCCCCTCACACGCTCTGCCTTTTCTACTCCTTTACCTCGTGTTCCTGCAGGGACACACACACAACCACAAAAAATGCAGATTGCAGTGGATTTGGATGCTTCTTTTGTAGTGTGTGCTGGCGGTTGCGGGTGGCTGCCGCCTCTTTCCGTGGGCATGAAGGGAAGGAAGGAGGAGAGGGAGCGCACACCGCGAGTCAATTTTGCTGTTGGCGTGATGCACCGCCTGCGACTTATTTGAGTTGGGCACTGAATCCCAGTGTGGGTGTAATGGCTGGAAATTTTGTCGCCGCGTCATGGCTGGGTGAGGATCCGCTTCCGCGTGTGGCTCTTTGGACGATTGCTTGCTCCGTGTGCGTTGTGTTGGCTGCTGGGCTGTGGCCGTACCCCGTTGTCCGTGGGACTGAACTGGAGACAGTGGCTGTGTGTCGCTTCTCCTCGCCCATTGGTGGATGACTGCTGGCGGTGTGTGCGTTTGTTGTGTGGAGGGCCGGATCTTCTCACCCGCGGACTGGCAGCACTGCGATGGTGTGTGTGTGTGAGGGCTGGTGTGGGGTTGCCGGCCAG